TGTGCTTACCAAGCTCTTGCTTTTACTTCCATTGTTTTTTTAGCTAAAAACAAAGAGAGCTAGTTTTGCCAATCTTTAAAACTTCATAACTAAAGGTATTTTCTCTTTATGAGAAGTATAATGAAGTCAAGATTTCAAATTCCTGGCTTCATTTTACTTTAGTTGGAGAGGAGGTAATTTTCTGTCTTTTTCTTCTAATGCCATGGTCCCCAGGCTAGACACTGGGGTTGAACCACCACTTGCTAAATTTACATGTTGAGTCTGTAGCTGACTGCTACTGCCACACCCATGCTCTTCAGCACAGTTGGGTGCATGTGTGTGGGGGGGGTGTCCACGCGCGCAGTGCGTTGGGACTCCAGGCAGAGAAAATGCTGCAGTCAACCATAGTGACACTCTCCCAGCTCTGGGGCTCCGCAGTAAGCTTTTCTTCCTCCCCCTAGATATTCTTCAGGACTCTTCAGGAAAGGGGGACGGTGCCTCCTCACAATCCCTGTCCATAGCAAGCAGTGACACTTGGCACATAGGTTAGCTGAATAAATAAATCTGGAAAACTCTTAGAGAACAGAATACTGTTAATTATTTTGGGGTGACATCATATCCTTTTTCTAACCTATATACCTATCATGGGACTTTCCATAATAATTTTACTCCCCAACTAAAGAGAACTAAGTGACCTATACATATAAAATCTTGACACAGCCCTGGCTGGTTTTGCTCAGCGGTTAGAGCATCAGCCAGTGGTTCAGAGAGACCTGGGTTCGGTTCCCCTTAAAGGCACATATCTCGGTTGCAATTTGTCCCCAGTCCTGGTTGGGTCGTGTGAGAGGCAGCCACTCAACGTGTCCCTTTCACATTGATGTTTTTTTCTCTCTCTCTCTCTTTCTCTCTCTCTCTCTCTCTCTCTCTCTCTCTCTCTCTCTCCCTCTCTTTCTTTCTCTCTCTACCTCCCTCCCACTCTATCTGAACAAAAAATGGAAAATGTCCTCGGGTGAAGATAAAAAAAAAATCTTGACACAGTGAGAAGTCATGCTTGGACGATGATGGCAGGTTTTTTACTGAAGTTTCCTCTGTAATCACTTCAACTCCATAGGCAGAGTCTATTAACATGTCCTGCTATGTAAGCTTTCAGTAGTGGGGTACTATCACTATCTTTTTATGTTTCTAGTCTTAAAACGTTTTATGCTTTATTTTAATTGATTATGTCAAGCTGTTATCGGTCTGTCCCTAAACAGTATGTAATTAACAGTGCTATTATTCACTCATGTTTAGTTCTTTTCTCATTTACTGGCTAGTGTAGCTCAGTTGGCTGAGCGTCGTCCAGTGCATCAGGAGATCGCAGGTTTGATTCCCGGGCAGGGCACGTGCCTGGGTTTTGGGCTCGATCCCCAGTGGGGGGGTGTTTCTATTGCTCTCTCTCTCTCCCTTCCTCTCTAAAATCAATAAAAGCATATTAAAATAAAGAATGAACATGGCGATTATAGATCTGCTTAACCATATGTTTGAAGCAAGTCAATTTATTTCACAAAATAATATTTAACATATGTCTAAGAACCTTGCCCCATTATGAGCAGATGAGTCATATTCCTTTTTAACATTTCCTTTTATGACTAAGGGGGAAAAGGTGCAGAAAAAGACAATGTTTTCTGTTTACAAGAACTATCTTCAGTAAAATAGTATTTCAAAGATTATTTTTTAATCATATTTTAAAATACTTCCTCACATTTTGTTGGTTAAGCTATCATTTGGTAATATACAGTTTTTAAATATTTTGAAAGAATATATGCTTGAATAAGAGAATAGTTCAAAAATGTCTTCACCTTTCAGAAAAATCCATGAATTTTACAAAAGTAAACAGCATTGGGAAATAAGAACATCAGCTCCAAAACTTAAAATAAAATAAAAGAGAATTAGCACTTTGCTGTGCATTAAAGCACCATTTATTCTGGAATACCTCATGCTAATCTGTGTTTTTGAAACCGAATGATTTTTGTGGTTTTACATCTAAGTAAAGAAAACAGTGATAATGGACATCTTCCAGCTGCATACCTTCACGACATTTAATAGGTTTTATTTGGATTAAGAAATGCAATTGTTTTCAGAAGTTGAGGGAGAGGAAAGTAACACTGACATGTATACTTTTATGCCATCAAATTTTGAACTTGAGTTTGCACTACATTTCCAGTTTTAGAAAACAGCAAAAATAAACAATGGACTTGGGTCTTACCAGACCTTAATTTACTCACTAATAGGACCTAAAGGTGATTTATAACTTGCAATTAGTGGAAATAAAAGTAGCTCAAAAATTGACAAAGATTGCGTGCCAACCGTAACAGCATCCCCACAGAGAACTTTAGTGTGACTTATCAGTGTAACAATCCATGAATGTGTGAAACTAAATTTATTAATATTTGTCACAAGTACATTTATAATCACAGAAAATATAATTTTACCTACTAATCACTACCATTAATAGACAGATGTGTCCTATGATTAGCAAAATAAAATGCTTATTTATCAGGAAAAAATCATTAAGCTGTTCTAAGGAGATTTCAGGTAATTTCCTTCAGACTTATAATGTCTATTAAAATATATGATCAAGTGATATCTGTTACTACAGAAATTTTAAATGCTTGCAAAACCCCTAACTACAGAGAATGACAGCCATTTTCTTGGGTTAGGTGGTTTCTGTCAAAACTACTTCAATCAAGTAAAAATTAGGCAAAAAAGGAGGAAAGCATACCCAATTCCTTCCTGGTGTTTTATATTATCCTAATGAATTATGATAAGCCTTTCTTCAATCCTGAGAATTTATACATTGAACAACTATTCCATGTTTATTTTCTTCCCCCGAGTCGGACATTTCCTGCAGAATCTAAGTAGACCTCTGGGGGAATGTTAATAACTTTGCCATTGTAGAGTCACTTTAAAACTGGATAACTTTTTGGAGGGTTATCCATGTCACCCAATTAAACTTTACAAACCTTTGTTTTTTAATCTTTTATCCTCATGCTCAACACGTACACACACACACACGCAGGGTCTGGCCCTACAGTCTTCCCATTTACCATTTACCGCATAGACTGTCCTCTCCATACTCCCTCCAAACTGTTCTCCCAGCACAGGGCACAGCTGGGTCTGGGTAATCCCTGATCCCAAGGAGTTCAGGTCAACTCAGATTCAAATTTGGAGATTTGGGGCTATACTCAGACCTCACTAAGGATATACATGGGCTCTTGTTACCTGCTGGCTTTTAAAATCCAAGCTGGGACTAGGGAGGTAGGAAGTGTAATTACAACCCCCACCTCTCAGAGGAAGGAGAAAAATTTCAGTATGAACTGGCCCAGTCTGCATCTAAAGGATCTTGCTTTTGTAATCCAAAAGTCAATGGTTTTATGCAAAAAGTAATTGTTTTTGCCAAATTTCAAGTAATTTTTCATTTTAAAGTCATTTGACCATACTATCTTTTTTCTTCACAGATATTACAACAGATTTTTTAAAAGAGAACAATTTTCTCCGTTTCATCTCCCTCACCCTCTTTTTTTTTTTTTTGGTGTGTGTGGCAGCTGCCGTTTGATCTGTTCATTGGCTCTGATTTGTTTCATGTTTCAGCCAAAGATGAAAACTACTCTGTAATTCTAAGCAGATGGGCCTAGGAGTGCAACCCTATAATTATACCTTCTCTCTTTGGCCCTCGAATTGCAAGCCTTCCATCCTAACTTTTAAAGTCTGGGAATCACTAGCATTCAGAATACACCTTGGCAATCAGGCAGGTCTAGCCCAGTCCAACATGTTTGCAAGGGCTGTGGAACTGTGCTGCCCAAGCCCCCTACCCAAAGTAGGGCTACAAACAAAACAAACAAAAAACAGCCATGTACAGCTTAAGGTTAACCTTCCTAGATCTTCTAGGGTGGTCACAGCTTGATCTGCAGTGCTAGCTACAGTGCATTCTGAAGCTCCATCTAGCTGCAGGTCCTACTCAGAAATGTAGTGTCCTTGGAGTGTACTGACCTGATCTACAGAGGTTTGGGGTGGTTGCAGTAGGTACCGAGGAGGGAAAGCCAAGCTCCCGGTGGAGGCGCTCTGCTGAAAAGTCAGGTGTCCACCATTAAGGAAAGTTCACTCAGGACATCTGAATCAGCACCATGTGTTCTGTCACTGCCTGTCCTGATGATGAACACCATTCTACCACAGAATCTGCTTTGGCGACTCCCAGGGAATTGTCTTCTTTTTCTCAGGGCAATTCCTGGAACTCTCTTAAAGCGCTGATGTTCTCTGGGTAAGAATTTACTAGAGATGAGAAAATGTGGCACATGAAGCCCAGAAACAAAATGATCAAGCTATGGTATGAGGGAATTAAGCTTAGCGTTAAGTCTCAGAAAATTTAGAAGACTGGTTTTAATGATCACACCTTGGCTATTATAAGTCCCTGCTCCTTGAAACTGCATCCAGTCTACTTGGAAGAGAACCCCATCACTACCTTTTCAAAAAACACTAGTTTTGGTAAGCGCACACAGACACACCCGCGAGCTGTTTTTCTGCTTAAATAACCCTAGTTTCTCTTTACAGTCCCATAAAAGTTTGGACCACATCAAGAGCCCCTCCTGTACTTTGACACTTTGGAAACAGGATCGCAAAGCCTGCCATTTCATGACAGTCTACAGTCTGAAAATCCAACGGCGGATAGAAGTTTTCCTTAAGACTTGAGGCAATCGATTAAGGAGATAAAAGTTGTGAGAGGTATGCACCCTTCCAGAAAGAACACTCCAGCCGCCAAAGGGCTCTGGGCGCTGCCAGAGAAGAGGAGCTCGGAGCCTAGGAAACGCCGAGCCCCTCTTTCAGGGGTGAGCAGGAGGAAGCAGGCTAGGCTGGTGCGGAGACCGGGAGCCGCCGCGATGGAGACCGGCTCCGCCGGGAGGCTTCGGCCGCCCTGGGGGTTCCCACCCTCCGGCTGCGGCGGGCGGTCAGTCACCACCACCACCCGCCCCCTCACCGGAACTCACCGTGAAGCAGGAGGGCCGGGAACAGGTATGTGAGCAGGAGGCGGCACAGACAGGACATCTCCAGTCCTCCTCCGGGACCTCCCGCGCGCCCCGAACCACTCGAGCCGCTAGCTGTCCGGGGCCCCTGTTCCCCGGGAGCCGCCGCGGCGCCGCGCGCGCTCTGCCCCCCCGCCTCCAGCCTGGGACAACACGACGAGGCAGCCGCAACGAGCGGGGCGAGCGCTTGGGCGCGGAGACACGGGGGCGGGTAGGCTCCTCGGCCCCAGCCCGTGAGCGGCCGGGCCAGGCCCGCGATCAGGCGGCCGCGGCGCGGGGCCCCATACCCGGGGGACGCGGCGCGGGGGCTGCGGGGCGCGCGCTCCCTCGGCGCCGGCGGGCCCCGCGCGCCCGGCCCGACCGTCTCCGCGCTCCCGGCCTCTCCGCGCCCGGCCCCACCGCGTCCCGCCCCGGCCGCCGCCGCAGCGCGCACCACTCCGAGCTGCAGTGGTCGCCACTGCCACCGCAGCTGCAGCGTCTCTTCATATTTCCCGAGCGCCGCCGGCGGGGCGGCCGGGCCGCAGGGCGGAGGAGGGGCCGGGGGGAGGGGTCCGGGAGGCGACGCTGCGCCACCGCCTCCCCGGCCCCCGCGGGGGATGGGGGCGCGGAGACTTGAAAAGGCGCGTCGGGCACCGCCTCTCCCCCTCCCGCCTCCCTCTCCAACCTCCCCTCTTCCACCTCCTCCCCCACCTTCTCTTTTGCTGCTCCCCCCCAACCCCTCCAGCCTTCCTCTTCCCTCCGCCCCCTTTCCCTTACCCTCCTCACTCCCAGCCCCCCTTCTCCCGAAAGTGCCCCCTCTCTCCCGACTCCAGGCTCTGCGCAACCCTTCCTCTCCTCCTGCTCAGCTGCCCACTCCTTGGGAGCTTCCTTTTGCGAAGGACTGACAGCCCTTGGCACCGCCGGCAAGGAAAGAAAATGTGCCCTTCACCTCCCTGCCTCCACTCCCGGCCCCTTGAGACCCTTTCTTGTTCCCTGCACAGGGGTGCATGCACCACTTGTGAAAGATGTTCCAAAAGGACAGGCTGGGGGCGCTGCAAGGCTGGGGTCTCAGGTGAGGTCTAAGAAAAGTTGGCTTGCAAAGATTGTGTGTGAGAGAGAAAGAGGGGGAGGGGGAGAGGGAGAAGAAGAAGAGGAGGAAAAGAGGAAGAAGAGAGATTACAGAAGAGTTGAGTTCTGGAAAATTGCTCACGATGGGTGTTGCAGTGCCTGGCTCCCTCAGCAGTGCAGTGCTTGTTTTAACTGAAAATCCCCATCACAGGTTAGTGGCTGGGTTTCCCTAGTGAGCACCAGAGAGCCCTGTCACAGGTCCCAACCTGTGAAGGGAATGGTGTAGGCAGCAGGAGCCCTTTCTCTTTTTCCTCCCCCGTCCAGGAGGCAAAGGACTTGTTGAAACAAGGGAGAAATCGTAGAGAAAGACTCCCTGTCAGTCCCCTAGAAAGTGTACCCAGGCCCCTTCTGTGGGTAGTCCTCTCTTCCAGGCCAAGTCTTGATTTTTATTTACGTTCTGTGGGTCTGTAGGGGTATGTTCAATTTTGCATGGGCTTTTAAGACCCAAAGGCAGAAACAATTTCCACTTTCTTAATCCCCCAGGGCACTGGAACAAGCTGCTTTCTGTAAATGGTGGCTCCCTTGCTTGGCAGAAGTGGTGGGGACTCTTATTTATCTGGAGGTCTTTCTCTGCAAAGGAACCCCAGCCATTCTGAGACTCCCAGGAAGAGGTTTATTCAGTCTCCTAGGCTAAATGTCACCTCCTCCTCACACTAAGGAGCAGCCATGGAACCAGATGGAATCAAGAGAAAACATTTCTTAACTCAGCTGTGCTGATGTTTTTCATAAATAAAAACGCTTAAAAGAGAATGCCTAACTTACCAAGAGAATGTTCTGCCTCTTTGAACAATGTAATCATTAAACTCCTTATGCTTTAGACTTTAAAAACTAGTCAGACCTTAGCATCAGTGTGAAATTTAGTAAAATAAATGAGAGTACATTTGATAGTTTCCACTTTTTCTTTTTTACTTTTTTATTTTTATTTTTTGCTGAAAAAGTCATGTCTCTTTTGATGTGATGGAGCTGATACTGTTTGATGTGCTTTAATTTTTATTGCCATCATTATCACCTTTCCATCTTTAATATGAAGGATCATTAAGTTATACCATCTGCCTAGCTCACAAGAATTTTGTGAGGATTAAAGTGCCAGTGTTTGCAAATCTTCAATTTAAAAAACTCCCTGCCTGTGAAAAAGGGGGAAGATTGTCATAATAATGCCTGTGAGCAAGAGCATTCTTTTGAGTTGGCCTTTGCTCTGCAAGCATCTCTCTGGATCAACTTTGTTCCTTATCACTTCGTTGTCTCTCTTGCTTGTCTCTGTTACTGGGTTTGGGTAGCAGATGATTTGTGGATTTGAATGTTGCCCAAGGGTCAATCAAGTTTAAAGCAGGAACTTTATTTCCTAACGAATGTTGGGCAGTTTAAAATGATGTAAACAGCATATTTGGCTGCTTAAGCAAAACATTAGCCTTGTCACCAAGCACACAGCTAGACAGTGTCTAGCTTTTATAGGTCTTTTAGTCACTTGATGCCTTTTAAGCTATCCGGGAATATCTGAAAGAAGCAAACAACATAAGAGAGTGTTAAGAATGGTGTGTTTATGTATAAGCAACTGGGTTGATAGTAATTAAAAATGTTAAGGTCATTTATCACATTAGCAACAGTTGGATAATACATTTACTCAAATAATTATTTGATTCTATTACCTAAAAAACTAAAACAAAAACAAAAAAGAAGGAAACCAGGAGATCAGCCGTAATTTGTGTCATCTTGACAGTCAAGTTGATTCAATCTTTGTTTTTCCAACTGGTTTCATTGGTGTGGTATAAACATAGCCAGGATGATGTCACCAGTTTGAAATTTGTGTTGCCAGTTTATTTTCCACATGTAGCGTTATAGATTTAAGTTCTCGACCTTCAACATAACATCTTGCCAGAGCTGCTACTCCCAGATATGCCCTTATTGCCTTCTGCTTGTCTACAAGGTGCAGACTATAGCTACAGGGTTCATTTTGTGGGTTACTTTTTACTTTCGCTATTAGTGTACTAACTTCTGGAGGAGAATAATGGAAAAAAATACAGTATACATTGGTCTTAGAGTAATTATATGTGGATATATGCTTAGAGTAATAGAATTGGGAGGAAGGGATTTCTAGGAAGGTGGTTATGAGCTCCATATCTTAATCTGCCCACTTGAAATCCACACAGAGAATTTCCCCAGTCCACTTGTAAGGACCAAACCTTGAGCTGGAGTTGTGTAGCTGGGCCCTGGTTATAGCAGGAGAGTCCCTGGCCAGGGCAGCTGGACAAAATTCCCTTAGCAGCATCAATAAGTATGTTAGAATATTCAGCGCTACTCATAAATAACTTGTCACATCGATGGGAAAGAAAAAACTCAAAGGGACTGAGTTCTCAGCCACACAGCACATCACAGGCAGACTTGGAACTACCATGGTTGTTCACTCACCAGCTCACCAGGCCTCTCATGTTTACCAAGCGGTCTTTTCCCATGAGCACTGATGATCCTAACTAAGAGCCTCTATTATTGGCTCAGTCTTTGAGTCAGAACCAGCCCATTGCTTTTCCACAGTCATTCTGAATCAGGAGCAAATTTTCTGGGACATCTGGGCTGGGCACAGAGCTTGAGTGATGACCTTTGCTTGATTTTCTTAGGAGGGTGTCTCAATTTTTAGTAAACACAATAATAGAGAGCTCAAATGCATTGTTATCCTGGCAGTCTTGAGGAAAATTTCCTGTAAAACCTATGCTACAATTTGGTTTCCTAATGCAGTCCTTGTGAAAACTGAACTCATTGCAACTCATTTGGAATTTCAGAGAGTCCAGGTCTTTCAGGTCTTGAAGAAATGATAATGTTAAGCGGGGTCAAAGGAATTAAAACATTAATTTAAAATCATGTTCAATTATGTGTATGGTTGAAAGCATTTAAACTATCTCTGCATCGTCAGAGGCTGAAAAATGTCATCAGGAAAAATAGACTTTTTTTGAAAGTTGCTAGATGTTATCGCCAAGCCAGTGACCCCGGGTAATTCCTCTAGACTGTAGACATCTGGAGGACAGGACTGGTGCTTAGTTATCTCTATACTCCTTTCAGCACCTATTTTTTCAAAATACCTAGAACACCTAAGCCAGTGTTTTGTCTACAGTAGGACTTTACTAAATGGTAAAGACTTTATAAGGGTTCTTTTTGTTGTTGTTTTTATCCTCACCTGAGGACATTTTTCCATTTTTTGTTCAGATAGAGCGGGAAGGAGAGAGAGGAAGAGAGAGAGAAACATTGACGTGAAAGGGACACATCAAATGGCTGCCACCCGCACGACCCAACCAGGGCCGGAGACAAACTGCAACCTAGGTACCTGCCCTTAGCGGGAACCGAACCTGGGTCTCTCTGGACCCCAGGCCAACACTCTAACCACTGAGCCAAACCTGCCAGGGCTGGTAAAGACTTTAAACTGAGAAAAAAAGTGTATAGCACTTCCTCAGAGGCAGAGCTAATAAAATTATCCTGAGGAGTCCTTAGGAAGGGGTATACTTCTGAGTTATATTTTTTAAAACGTGTTAATTAGAACAAACTATTTTGAAAATAAAATATACTTTGATGTATCTTTGAGTTACATAGTCTTCTAAACTTACGAAATTAAAGACTACATTGTATTTTATATTCATGGCAGCTGTCCGAGAAAACAAATAAAATGTTTGTGAGCTTAGCATTCATTTGTTAGTTCATTCATTCATTTATTCATTCATTCATCCAACATGTATGAATATCATATATATATGTGCAACATCCAAAAATAAGGATATGTATGAGAGTGATTTAGATTAGCCATCTCTTCACCCTCTGTCTCATGTTTGTTTGGGGCCTGATGAGAAGACTGAGGACCCTTACCACTGGAGGAAAATAAAAGCAATAAAGAACCTCAGGAACACTTTGTCTGTATTTTCATGTGATTTTCATAATATTCTTTCTTGTAGTGCTAGTTGCCTTGTACATCTAACTGCTTTATCTGATTAACTAGAT